GCTTCCACTAATTATCACAGTCGCAACGAGGCATAAAATGCATTGTTTCGTCAACTATTACAGAGACAGAAAGGCATAAAACACATCACTGCGTTAAATATCACGGCGATAGCGAGGCATAAAATCCGCAGCTGCATTAATCCTCACAGTGAGAGAAAGACGAAAAATTCACTAATGTCATAGTAACGTATGCTAAAGCAACTGCAAGAAATGAAATCGCTGATAAATGTCAACAAAGTGCGCAGAATACAATTCATAGATGTGTGAACTTACCAAAGAAGTAAAGCTAACTTCTCGAGTTTTATCAAAAAAAGTCGGAAAAAATGAACTTAAAAAAGTTAAATTAAAAAAACACTGAATTTTTTATGAACATTTCAAAAAGAATTTGAAATTTGTCAAGATGACTTAACTTTTCTGTTTCCATATCTCTAGCGATTGAAGATTTGCTAACTCAATTCGTATCATTCTCAGTCAAGCAAGCATTCGAACCCTTCTAAACAACTTTCCTGGGCAAATTCAGTTCTTTTTATGTATTTCTCATATAAAATTTTGACTAAATAAGCCTAGGTAAGTTGCGCAAGGAGAAAAAAAACTGTTAAGTAGATGTCTGAAATCAGAGCAAAGCCCGCACAACTAAATTTAGCCTGAGGAAAGAAACGTCAAAATTAAATGAACTCACTCCTTTATGAAAAAAAAAACCACTTTTCCAGGAAACCAATTATGCTCACCGCGAACCCATTGGAACTCAATAAAACTATAAAATTTTGCTCGGATGTTGTTGACTAAAGCTACAAATGGCCGTCAGCGATGGGTGAATGGTACTCCTATAGAATCAAAGAGTATCGCTCGTTAAGGCTCTTGAAAAATGCCATATCTCTACAGTACTTTACAATGACAACCTGCACAATAAGTAATACAAAAAATCAAAAAAAAAAAAAAACAAATTACAGGCGAACTTTTTACATATCACAAATACATATTGCTGAGATAACACAACTATTCAAATACGATAACCGGGCGATTGACAGTGACGAAGAAGTAGAATAAAAAGACATATATAACAAGAGTACACGATTGCCCTGACAATCGGTGTGGGTATCCCATGCTACTGATGCACCTGAAGTGTTCCCATATGACCAGTACAACTATGCCTGGACCAAAACCAGTATGTGGAGCGAGATAAACAAAACCGTACAACTGCAAAATCCAATAAAAAGCAATCTTAGCAGGAAAAGAGGAGCAACCAAAACTAAGCTAATCATCGCTGCTTTGGTTTCAAACCAAAAAACAAACTTTTTCGAAAAATTATAAATTTCAACTCTCAAAATACCACAACATGACACCGTGATCCTACTGTTCCCAGTTCTTCTAGGACCCACAGATTCACGGCGTATCATCAAGTGAACTTTACCCCGCTCCCGAATTTCCTGAACCTATCCACTTCTGAGTGTAATGGCAAGTCCTTTTCCAGTCTCCAAAAATACCGAATTTTTAGCCCAAAATAACGTCAGATCGCTTCCCAATTAATGACTTTCTGAAATTTTGCCACAGTGATGCTTAGCGAACTGATTGATTTCATCAACCGTTTCGAATGTAGGTATCCAGCATAGTATCAGAACTTTAGATTCCTGAAGTCCCTTTCTCTCCCACAGTATAGTAGTGGATCCTTTTTTCATATTCCGTTTCCTTCAGATCCTTCAA